ATGCAAATAGGAATATAACCGATAGAGAAAACCACGGTGAAAGAGACCATTTTGTGCACTACCGCAGTAGTAAACGTCGTGCTTCGTTATATTTCAATGGACGATATCGTTATTGTTGGTATAACTTGGTATTTGGACGGATATTATAATTATTTTGCTAATCTAAGAGCTTGAACCATCAAAATACGATCCTGTGAAAATCACAACTGACCCAGTCTACTCGGACAGCATTTGATGAAATATACCCCTCTTTTTGGAAAAATGGTCCGAAGTCAGAGCTGTCTGAGGATCGGGAAAATTGTCGTTTTCTAGAGGATGGAGCGTAAATCCGTTCTGAAGCGGCAGCAAAAAAACAAAAACATTGATTCTCTACAAGAACACAAATGCAAACTTAATATCCAAAATGTGTTCGATATTTGTCCAAAATCACAGGATGAACCGGTTAAATTTTCAGGCAAAGAGGTGTAACAGTCTCTTGGTAAAAATTCGACTTGGCAAGGGAAATTTTGCAACGTTGAAATGGAGTTATGTTACCTTCCGTCCAAGAAACGACAAGATGACACCCGCGGTCAAAAAGGATTGACACTGACATTCAGCCTAAAAAAACGGGATCCACACACAAGGAATGGGAAATAGGGGTTTAGCCTACTGCTATATCGCCTTCAATTTTTGAGGTAGGCCACAAATCATACCCCATAAGGTGAAAGCTGTCTGTTGGAGGATTTGTGTCTGAGCTAACCTGAAGATGTTTTTTTTTATTTGCAGGTTTAATGACTTATACTGTATACCCCTCCTTAGGGGTCTACAGCCAACTATAGACAGGATTTTTATTGTCAGTAGACATCATAGGTATTTTGGTACATCCATGCTCCGGCTCTCAAATCAGGGATTAAGGTCGAGTAGACTCTATTTCTGCAGACCCACTCGTCAGTTCCGTGAAAATTTGTCGCCACCACCGGGATTCGAACCCAGGCGGGACCTATTGGTCTAGAGTCAGACGCGCTGACCGCTAGGCCAACCTGAATATTTAATATTAGATCGGGTGTCATATTCACGTCTCTAACATTGAAAGATACTAAATTTTGGTAAAATTGCACTCAGGGAAAAAACATTGCTTTCACTAGATAGGTGGTGTTTCATACGAACTCTTATAACGGCCAATTAAATTAATTAGTGACATTTTTACCACTTCACGGTAAAAATTCCACAATTATTACTTTCGTTTTCTACATATATTGATATGGATTAATAATAACTCATGTAGAACACCCATAATTTTCAGTGGCGTGGCGTGCTTTGCGATATATCGATAGATCTGCCATTTAAACCTGTGGAGAAAGATCGATAAACTGGGTGTTCGCAGCGAACAGCTTAATAATCGATTCTTTACCATAGCTTCAAATGGAGGAATATCGATAAATCGATCATTCACGCCTCGCTACTGATAATTTCGTAATTCAATCGTATTAGAATTTCTTCGGAGATCCAATATTTTGGTTTATTGCGCCTTGTTTGATTTCACCCCATTTTCAAACCATGCGAAATCGTATATTGCAGAGCTTCCACTTGCTTTCATGGTTTAAATGCTGTCGAAGAAGCGAGTCTACATTTTTGCTACCTCAGACTCGTTAGTTGGCAACGCAAAACTTAAAATTATTTGCAAAAGTGGCAGCAGGAAAGATTGTCAAGCAACGAGAAGCAAAGTGTCATCCCGAGATAATTTGAAAACACTCTCTTTTCCTTTAGCCGCCCCCTACCCCTCCCCATAGCGCGGGGTACGCTATGCGGCACTGCGACTCAAATTGTTTCACTGAGCGCCTCCCTTATCTGCAGTGCAGAGCTAGCACGTTGTTGAAAATACCTTGAATTTTCTTCGACATAATTTATTTGCGTTGGTATATTTATCACCGAAGGAGTAGAGGTGGAGATGATACGTCTCGGAGCAATTTACCGCGAAAAAAAAAGGAAACACGGTCATTTTAAATTCTAAAGCTCGAGACTCGGTGCAGGTCCTAAGACAAATAAATATTAGTGTATTTTCCGAAGAAAATACACTATTGCATTCTCCCATGATGTCGGACCCAGACCCGAGACCTCGTGGAGAGCACCGATCACGGGTCTTAGACCACGAAAATATATGCCATTCAAATTCATGTGTATATATTTTACAATTAGTTTCAATTAAAAAGAGAAGAAAAGTAGAACTTTTAATAACTAAGTAGATTAATCCTGATTTGTTTTGTTATGTGCTTCGTCACTTGTCTTTTATATTCACTTGTAATTATGGGTTAGCATGTTATAATTTGGTAATGTAGTTTGTGTGCTCAATGCATTATTTATCATCATTGTAATTATGTGCTTATCGTAGTGTGTAATTTTAGTAGTGGTCTTGAAGATAGGGTATTCCCGAAAGGCATCGAGCGTATGTACATATTTAACTAAAATAAACGTAATTTACGGTATAAATGTGACTCTTATTGTATAGAAAAGTAGAACAGTATGTGTTTAATAATAATAGTAAAAAAATCGACTGATCATTTGCACAATTTCTTGTTTTTTCTCTTGCTCAATGAAATGAGGAAGTAATAAAGTGCATTAAGTCAATCAATTGTTATACTATTATTATCAGGCACATGCAGTTTGCTTCCTTTGCCGTTTTGCCACTTGGAAAGTAAACTCGATTTTTTAGCGCACCCAATCGGAAATATAATTTGAAGATTCTTTTTCAAAAGATTTTGAGTTAGTATCCCTAACTGACTAAAGTCTTTTAGATAAAGTGAAAACGATTTGAGGTATTCAACGAGAAAATAGTATTGAATTGAATGAATTTAGTTGCACTCAGAGATGGATTATTAAATGTGCCTCCTAAATCAATTATGGGGTAAAATGTATCAAACAAATATTCACTGAGAAAAGTCAACGTCTCCGCTTGGAAGAGATTAAAAATTAAATTTGACGGATGAAAATAAGATGCGCATAATTGATTTCCTCATAAAATGACATGCATTTAAGCAAGCTTGAAAACGATGTGTAACAAACGTAACGCTTAGACTTGGACGGATTTGCCTTGATGGAGACGCCTTGCTGGGCTACAACTATTACTACTCGATGGAGGGCCGTGTTGCATATTCAAAAAATGAAGGCGCGTAGCATTTCCTTTACTTTTGCTGACACACGGGACGCGTGCATGTATAACTACATTTTGTGACTTGACGTTTACGAAGTTTAAGTGCGAGATGTTTTTCCTATTTATTTTCATTCATAAAAAAGAGTGAACCAAATACCACACTCTCGGATAAAAAACAGCAATGAGTGCAACTTACTTCAAACTCAAGGTATAATTATATTTTTCGACTAATTTTATAATTCAGGACGGAGTCATTACTTTAACTGGACGCTCGTATGGTAAACCTACAAGCTGCAGGCGAACAAAAATCGACCGAAATTCTACTTTCATTCTTAAGATGTGGAAAAAAACCAAACAAATAGGTCAGTTCAGCTGCCTACTCCTGAAAATGCTCTCTCGGAGATGTGACATTAAAATCAAAAGTGAACCATTCGGTCCGCCTATTCGTACGCTATATTTTTCCTCCATTTATTGCAAACTTTGACTAAACATTTTCAAGAGAGAATATCAAATTAACTGATTTTCACCTTAAGACGGAGTGTAGTTTCCTTTTCGGCAAAAATTACGGGCGAACCGGTATTTTAAAAACTGTTTTTTCAATATCTGAATATTCCTTTTTTTGTTTTTATATTTAAATCTGGTATGGATGCATCCCCTACGGATAGGATTTGACCCTACTCTAACACAGGCAGTTGCAAAGGGGAACAATGGAAAAAAGAAAAAAAAAGGGGGGGATAATACTTTATAGAACTAGTGAAAATATACAATTTTGTACAGCTTCACTCTTCAGTCAAAACGACCCCCACCCTCCAAAACAAAACTCCTTGCCTCCATAGATATTCCTTCCATCTAATGACGTCCAACTGATAATTTGAAATAGCTTTAAGAGTTATCAGCGATCTGCGCCGGGAACTTGCTGGATGTGCAGGCTTGGAGGTATCACATCAGAGTGATTAAACCCACCTCGACATCTCTCTCTTCCCGATTCATCAGAAGGGGAGTTTTCCAGGGAGGCGGGGGAGGAAGATAGGGGGAGGGCGGGAGGCGTGATTGTGTTTTCGCGGCTCCTCAACCCGTTACCCGTTGTCGCATCACATTATCGCGACAGTGGCGCGTTGTTTTCACTTCGCTAATGAAACGATTCCTTCCTCTATCCTTGCTCCTGCATCTTTGCCTTTCCTATTCACTCCGCTAAGCGAATAAATGGAACAGAAAAGCGCAACGAAATCCATCCTGCTTCGCCACCTCGCATCAGATGTTGTCAGCTTTAAACCCTATGGTTAATTTGCCCCTGAAGGAGTGCCGGATTAAAATTGAAAATGTTTACATTTTTGCAGTCTTCAAGAGCAGTTTGACATAAATCTGACCGCCTAAGAAAAAATGAGTCTAAATTTATGGAAAACCAATGACTGGGTTTTGATAGCAGAGCGTAGATAACTGCGGCACCACTTAAAATTTTTTCACGCGAATTTTTTTTTTTTTTTTGGCCATCCTTCACTTGCCAAAAGGCTTCCTTTTAGGGGGTCGCACTTCAAAAATTCGGAAAAGTCCAAAAAAGGGCCACCCTATTAAATGAAACTTATACGCATACGAAATTAGTGTTCAACCAAAAAAGCGTTAAGGCGATTTGAAGTTTTGTCTTTAAAGAAAAACGTAGTTTTTAGAGAGAAACAAAATACTTTAAATTTTAATTTGCGATGGTCGGAGCACAAAATTGCCAGATTACAACACAGCATAACACTTTCTCTTAGCAAAAAAAAAAAAAAAATGATCACTCACTCCCGTTTCTTATTCTTCATGGGACATGGAAGAGAATTTTCCGCCGAAATCTCAAATTCGAGTTGCTAAATTTTAATAAGTAATTTCTGCATTATGAATGTTTGAAGAAAAAAACATTTAATATACATTTTACAGTACATGTAAAGGAAATATACAATACATGTTATAATTTAAGGTACGTCCTAAGTGGACTCTGATAGCGTAATAATAATACCGTAACTATAAAGAACACAAAAATTATGCTCTCTGCTATTGTGATAGATAAGTCAATGCACTTGCCCCAGGTCTATGTTGGGCCCCAAGGTCAGCTCACTTGAGCATTGTAAATAGTATCCGGTCGATGACACTCTATTCTATAGCAATAATCGACCAAAATATACAGTTGGAGCAAGTCCATTGACTTATCTAGTTATCAATCACGACATAGCACGGTAGATGACAGCTCGTGACCGCCAATTAAGATAGACAGCATAGTGATGTCGCAAAGCACGATGAAAAATGTTGGCTGCAAATATGCTCAGGTGGTTTATTTTTTCTTCCGCTGCAAATCGGACCATACACCTGTCGTTGTTGAAAGAATGTGAATCATCAGCGTCTCTCTGTCAAAAAGCATTCACCGTCGTTGGCCACTCCGGATTTTGAATCTAAAAAGATAAGTGCCTATGCCGTCAAAAAATTAAAAAGCTCTGTAGAGTCGATTCTGAGCAATTGGACTTTGACGAATGTTTCTTTTGCTCATACTAAAAAAAAGTGCAAAAAGCAACGACAACAATCGAACCTAAAAACAAAAAGGGAAAGACTACACACCGAGAGGTTTATACAATATTCAATGATTTGGTATTTGGCTTTTTCTTAGCTCCTTTCGTATTTTCTGCGTTAATACAGCCCTCGATTAATTTTCTGATGGATGAACGTAATCCAAGTTCCCGATTTGAGCCAAGCAGTGGTGCTGAAATTTTTTTTTCGATCAGCCTCAGGTAATGGAATGAGGAAACTCCCTTAGTCATATCAAAATCGTCGGATCGGTAGTTTTAAAAAAACTAGTACAAATTATTTTAAAAAATTCTTGTTAATGTGTAATAAATGATATTTAATACCTATCTTCTTTTTTATGAATCTAAACTTGGTGGAGCCAACACTTTCAATAGACTTTACCTAGGGTAAAAAGTAAGGTGACGCAAATCGAGGCACATTTTTACTCCCAAATTTTGGGCAAGAAATGTTTTTGTGCTGCACATTTCATGACGTATGCAAAAATATCATTGAAAACTCTCACCCATCTCTGCATACTAAACTGACGGACATGAAAAAAAGTGTCAAGGATTATCCGATAAAATTTTGGTACTGCTGAATTTGTTGGATGATATGAACATTTCCAATTCATTGTTGCATTATTCCAGTGCTTACCGCAACTCAAGTTGGGGTAGCACCAGAACATTTGTGCTAGTAACTTAACTTTATGGATACTATCACGATTCACTGGAAATATCCGTATCATTCAACAACCCCTTGCTCTTTTTTCCGTGAAGGAATTTCCGAATGGATGGGTTGAATTATGAACCGATTGAAGGAGAGCATTTAAACATTGGCGGATCCAGCAATTTGGCAACACCGGATTTCCTCCATTTAAACCTATGGAAATGTATAGATTCTTGTATGGGCCAGGTGCTCCGACAGGAATCGATTATTTAGCATAGGTTTAAATGCAGGAAATTCGGTGTTGCCAGATCGCTGGATCATACCTCTGTATTTAAATACTGCTGAATGAAACTATTGCACTGGAAAAAAATTCTCGGCGTTTTTACCACGGTCCGTTGGTACCTTTATCATCTCACTTTTTTACCAATTATTGGTAATTTTACCAAGACAGACTGGTAAGCTTACCTAAAAACATGTATTTTTACTGTTTTTTTTTCAGGTAAGAATACCACTTTTATTGGTAATCAATTCCCGGTAACTTTGCCATTTTATCTCGGTAATTCTACGACAGTCGATAAAAAATATTGGCGTTTTTTACGAAGGTCCAGTAAAACTAATGAGAAAGTTCAATAATTTTACCGAGATTTCTCAGTAAAATTACCAATTACATAAATGGTAATTTTACCAAGAAAAAACTGGGATCAAATAGAACCCTGAATCCTTGGTAATTTTACCCTTTTCTCAGTAAATACACCGAGATTTTTTTTTTCAGTGCGTAAGTCAATACTTACTTGCTCATTGATGAAGACACTTGTGAAGCAGTTTCTTGAGAACTTGAGAAAAATGTTTAAATTATAGATCCATTATTCATCAGTCAAGAAAATTTTAGAAGCATTATGAGGGTTTATTTATGACTAGGACGGAAGACGGATGTAAGGACCAAGTGCTAATGAAATATCCCACTGTACCCACTACTGTCCCGCTGATAAAGCTGCAGATGAGGAACATAATATATTTCGGAACGCTCGCGATCAGATGGTATTATTCTTCGAAGTTCACTCTTATTGATTGTGCCTTTAACAGAAATTAAGTACATAACTTGTTAAATTTATGCTTACCGTTTCCATATGAATTAACAGAAATTCAAATATCTCTCGGAATCCTCTTTTTTTCTTCTACGAGCGACTAGGGATATAGTGCCGGGCACATTGAATCATAAATATTATAAAAATAAAAAATCAGTGAATGTAGAGGACTCGTCAAAAAACAGCAGTAAAGTATTCAATCATTTCAGGAGAAGAGAGCCGGCTTCAGACCCAACTTTTAGGCGGTCTCTTAGGTGGTTGTGTTTTTAAACACACATTCTCTATAAATTTTGTCTAAAAATGCCATTATATTAATATTATTTTAGAAATAAAATTAATTCTGCATTTATGAAAACATTTTGAAAAATTTTAATCGAGAGACGGGGTTATGTATTTCAACATGAAACAATATTCCTCTTTCCATTGGGAGTGGGAGTCATCCGCTGCACCATCTTTCTCCGAAATTTTCTTTATCAATGTTTGGCACGAAAAAAAGCAGAAAAATACATCTTTGAAACGCGGGGAGTTGATTTTCTCAGCATGGTATGAAACAAAAGGAAAGGGTTGGAACTTATTGTGTCACCTCATCCAGTTTAATTTTAAAATCAACACAAGAGGTCTCCGAAAGAGTGGAAAAACAACCACATTTCATCAGAAAAAATAATGTTCTGCACACGTGCAACGCCACATATTATATTGGGCAGGTGTGGATTATTTTGATGGATGCAAATGGCGAGTCAAAAACAAGGAACGAAAATGTGAACAAAAGACGTCCGTGCTAGTGTCAAAGTTCGGAGGATGCTTTCCGGGGTGATTACTTTTAGCTCACGCTTATGTGCATCTGTAGCCACGATGGTGCGCTATGGGAGAATATGGCTGAAGAAAACCATGCCTTACACTGTGGCTGGATTCTTTGCAATACAACTGAGGAGCCTCTGCGATGAAGAGAGAAGTTACAAACCGGAGCAAAACAATGCCGTTTCCCCTTAAATTAGCTTTTCAGCTTTTTGAAATTTTCATGGCACGTACTTTAACGTTAAATTAACATTTCGTGGAAAACTATGTGGAAAAACGACGGAGTCATTTGGATTTAAGAATTTTATCAGAAATGACGAACATCTTAATTCTATACTTGTATAAAATGTGCTCGGACTAGGCTACGCGCCCTGACCCCTTTGGGGCCCAACCTCTCCCAACGCTTTGCGCCTCAGACGTTAAGCGTCACGCGTCTCTCTCATGATTTTATATCCAGAGTAAGATATTTGAAGATAGTTAAAGAATGTAACTATACAATGTTCCTGCTGCTGCGTCTGCAGCAATAAATTGTTGTTACGAATATGTTGTGCTTGCTGATTTTAGCTCATTACATACTTAAATCTGTGAGGGCGTTTTATGTGCGGAACCAATTCGCCTTCATCTGCGTCTGCAGCAATTGTTGTTATGAATATGTCGTGCGTGCTGATTTTTGCTCATTGCAAACTTGACTCTCTGAAGGCGTTTTATGCGCGCAAGTAGCGCAATCTGTCGGATAATTAAAGAAGTGTGATTGAATAAATCTCTCAATCCCTACTTCGTTCGTTGTTCGACAGATTGGGTTACTTGCGCATATAAAATGCCTTCAAAGAGTCGAGTATGTAATGATCTGAAATCAGCACGCACAACATATTCGTAACAACAATTGCTGCAGACGTAGCTGAAGGTGAATTGCTTTCGCGCCTAAGACGCCTTCAGAGATCAAGTATGTAATGAGCTGAAATCAGCACGCACATCATATTCGTAACAACAAATGCTGCAGACGCAGCAGAAGGCGAATTGTTCAGTTTAAAAAAGAAGGGAATGATAGGTAGTCTGCATGTAACGAAAGGGTATGTATTCGATCGACGTAAATCGAACGAGAAATAAAATCGCAAACGGATTAACACCGATTCAGTGGACAAATATATAAAAAAGCGGATCAAAATCAGTAGAAAACTTGAAAGATTTGTGGGGGTGATAGTCGGAGAGGCTCAATTTCATTGAAACGTCACACAGTTCCAAAAGTTTAATACTTATTCTTAAACATCTTTTGGAGCATTTGCATCAGTATATAACACACAGTCACTAAATAAAAAAAAAGGCATCAAGTGAAACTTTTGCGATGAAATTCAGCCCCTCTGACTCTAACACCTTCACTTGTCCACCGAGGAAATAGAGAAATAGTTGCCTTACATTTCGCGATGTGCAGCAATGAGTATCGCAGTCTGCAATGCTGCAAAGATTATATTTAAAACTCTCCCACTCGTAATTAAAAAATAATAGAAACGATTATGTACGAAAATATCTCTTATTGATCTGCCCCCAATGGAAATTATTTAAACACAGAAGCTGCATAATCTAAACAGCCCTGCATCTATAATATTAAGCGCGTATAATTATTTATTGCGAAATGAAGTCCAGCTATTATATTAAGCACTGCAGCTCATAATTTAAATATACTGGAATTTAGACACTTACAAAAGCTCCATTAGTCGTACAAATTCGGATCGGATCACAGTTTGCTCACAAAGGCACCCGCACGACGGTGGCCCTTTTATTTGATCGTCTCAAAGGGATAAGGCGAGGCGCAGCCTGTTAAATCCAATCCCTGTCGCTACAAAGGCTACAAATCAGACTCGGGGCAGGAAAAAGCACGGGATGGAAAAAAGTCAAAGCTGAAACGAGAGACGGCCGGCGAGGGGCGAGGGGGGGGGAGAGACGAGAGAGGCAATTTATTACGTAAAATGACTGGAACATCTTAATGAAAAAGCAATCTATCATATTAACAAAAGCCGAGTAGCCACTGCACAATGGAAAGATTAACTGTCCAGATTAACTTCTAGTGTATTCATCATTTCGTCTATTAACTGGAACGGGACTGCGGCGCACTGTGCGCTACCCCTCGTCGGAAATGGCCAAGCATGCTATTGGCCCTCGATCGATCATCCTCTCCCTATAGGGAGTTTCAGTGCATTCATGAAGTACAATGTACTTTACAAAATAATTATAATGACCTGTTTTTGATTCAAAACCGTCTTGGAATAATTGGACTGCATTTGGCAATAAGGGACTATAAATTCCGGCCCGGTTTAAAAACAAAGTATGTGCCATTAGTTTCCCTATGCACATAAGTGTTTTTTTCAGATGAGCCAGAATTTATAGTTCCAAATTGCAAAATGCAGTCCTATTGAACCGTCAAATGAAGTATCGAATCGATGCCTAAATTAGAAAAATGCGTATCTCCAAGCGCACCGCTGCAAGTCCTTACTCGCATTTTTTTTAACAGGTAATTTTTTAAAACTAGCCCATCATTATTCTTAAGATTTGTTGTGAGTTTTCGCAACACATATTATAATGTCCATATCATATCCATATAATATTTTGGTTATATTTCCACTAAGACTATATAACATAATCGGAAATTTCTGAAACGTTACAAAAGATTAGCGCTTTATTCAATTTTAGCTATTGATGTGTTTCATATATGTACTTTTAATTGAAGTCTCTTTCCGCCCTCTTATGTCTGAACGTTTTCAACATTAATCTCAGTGCTATAGTCGGTTAGCCTCACTTTAAGGAAGTCTAATTTTTAGTTATCTTAATTCTTTTTTACTTCCTTCAGAGCAAGTAGTAAGGTTGAAGCAACTATTTTAACATTGCGGTAGGTAATGCAAGGTTGCTTTCAATAGGTATGAAGGCGAATCATTCGATCAGACTCTTTCTAGTTTAATTTTTAATTTATAAATTTGCGCTCCTTCCCTTTTCTATGCGGGGAACTTACGTGAATCAAAATTGTTTCGCCAAAAACAAATTGTCTTGTATTCGTGCAATAGTTATTCCTCGCTCCTCCCATGCACAACTTCAAAAGATATTAATATTACATCAATCTTTCGCTTATTTCTACGGTGCTCAAAAGAATTTTGGCATTGAAATCGAAACATAGAGTGCGGATGTATCTCGACATAAATACAAGAGGATAGACTATTCAGAGGCAGTTGAACAATTTGCAGACTTGATCTCAGAAAATAACACAATTTCAGGCAAAATGTTTGTACGGATGTGGGTGTTTCCGTGGAAATTTTAAAACCACCTAGTGCGATACACATGCAACACATAAGAAAAAAAATAAAAAATAAAAAATAAAAAAAAAACAACTAGGTAAAGTGCCTTTCTTTCTTATTATTATTTTGTCAAAACAACTAACTTCAAGAACACCGTTTCGCCAAACAATTATTACATTTGTTGAGAAATCATGATAGTCCGTCACATTGTGCGGCATTTAGCCCCCGGAGGGGGGGTGAAGGGAGGGCCAGAGCGAGGACCCGTTCCACGCGCGCGCTCGCGCTGCTATACCCGTTTGAATTGGCCACCCTTTTTGTAGGGGTTTCTTTTGGCTCCATTGACTGGACCTGCAGCTCTGCTCCTCTCAGTCACTGCGCGCCCATACTCGTCATTACACTTAAAATCAACAACTCCTTTGCGGATTCACTCTTCGCTGGCTGCTTACCAACCTGGCCCATCTGTTCACTGCGATTTCGCCCCTACCCTCGTCTCCATCCCCACAGGATCCATCCATGCCCATCTCTCCCTCTCTCTCCTCATTCATCTCCTCCAGCTTTCCAAGATTCTCCTCGTCTCTCTCTCTGATCGCTCTACAGGGTGATCCAAAAGTCCCTTCCACCCCCTCTAACTTTTTACCTAATTGAGGTAAAGATTTGAAACTTGGGGGATATTCCTAAGTCAAAGGGAGCTACTTTTTGGCCCCCCTAAAATTCTCAGGGGGACCCCCCTCGGGGGGGCAACGGCCCCCAACTTTAAATTTTCAAATGGGAAGACCCCCTTTGTGATAGCTCGTTCGAAAGACCATAAAAAAAGAAAACTTTTCGCGCAACCCCAAAGTCAATATCTCAAACCGTTTCAAAGTGGCGGCCGGTTAAAGTTCAAAATGGCCGAAAATTCACACCGGTAATTTGTTGATAGATTTGCGCGAAAATCGGTATGTAGGGGTATTTTGACACGAGAAAAACGAATTTGACGTTAGATTTTCAAAAAAACCAAAATTTCCAAAATGTCCGCCGGTTAAAGTTCAAAATGACCAAAAATTGATTTTTTTATAAATCTAAGTTCAAATTTGTTTATCTTATGCCAATATACTCTCAAATTCCAAGTTTTAGGCAAATCCATCAGGAAAAAACCAAGGTGAAAATTTTCGGCCATTTTAAACTTTAACCGGCGGCCATTTTGGAAATTTTGGTTTTTTTGAAAATCTAACGTCAAATTCGTTTTTCTTGTGTCAAAATACCCCTACGTACCGATTTTCGCGCAAATCCATCAACAAATAACCGGTGTGAATTTTCGGCCATTTTGAACTTTAACCGGCCGCCATTTTGAAACGGTTTGAGATATTGACTTCGGATTTGCGCGAAAAGTTTTCTTTTTTTATGGTCTTTCGAACGAGCTATCACAAAAGGGGTCTTCCCATTTGAAAATTAAAAGTTGGGGGCCCTTGCCCCCCAAGGGGGGCCCCCCTGAAAATTTTAGGGGGGCCAAAAAGTAGCTTCCTTTGACCTAGGAATATCCCCCAAGTTTCAAATCTTTACCTCAATTAGGTAAAAAGTTCGAGGGGGTGGAAGGGACTTTTGGATCACCCTGTATTTGTCTGGTGGTTAGCGCACTTTCAAATCGATGCCGCAGTTGACAGTTTTAACTGTTATTACTGACTTAATATTTATATTGATCAAGAAAGAAATCCGAGACTGCTGAAATGGCTATTTCTGAGAGGATGAAATTATTTTTCTTTTTCTGCACGGAAAATAAGTATCACGATCCCAACCATACTCCTGGCTGATTTTGACGCCAGACATAAGAGTAGTTGCACTAGTCAGAGGTACGGTTGACTCTGCCAAAAGTGTGGTTGGATCAATCATACTTCTAGCTAGTGAAACTACTCTTATATCTGGCGTCAAAATCAGCCAGGAGTATAGTTGGGACGATAATCTTTTTTCAGTGTATCTAACCCCCTAAACCTAATGCTTCCAAGGGCTAGTAGACAGGGTCTACATACGAAGCGTTTTAAGCATTCATGAAGCATCGTAGAAAGTATGCAACAGGCAGACGTTCATAGTTGCGCCTTAATCGATACAACTATTCGTGTTCGATGGATGTGCGTGTTGTATCTGAGAATAAATTAAGGCGCTGTAGGTTTGCTGGTATTGTAACAGACATAGGCACTGTTTTATCATTGTAGATCACGTGGACTTCATTTTTGCATCATCCGTGAAAGAACCAATCTGCAGCATAAACTATACTGACACTTTCATTGTTTCTAAAATGAATCAAGAATAGTGGTTTCCTTTTGCAAAATTTAGTCTTTTCATCGACTAGACTAGATATTTTACTATCATTTTTATAATTATTGTTATTCATTCGCTCCAAAATAGAGGATTGGAAAATTATCACGCACGGATAACTTTAAAATCACATTTTTTTAAAAAATTTGAATCTAGCATGGATATTTGGAGTCCTTAAAATCTGCACGTATTTTAAGCACGGCTTCTTTCAATCTTTTAGTCTATTTTCTGCATGAACGGAAAATGGTGATAAATTTAATCACCTTGTCGGCTAATTGTTTTTCCTATTAAAGAAAGATCGCAGAGCCATGTATATCTGAAGTTCAGATCTTCAATTTATTTATTGGCCCTACATGAAGATTGGTCGATTGCGCCAGAACTGCGTCTAATTTTGCTAAATTTTCAGTAGGCGCTAAAACTAGGTAACTAGATAGTCGGAGTTAACATCCTTTCATCATCTTGCGACTTATGGAGATCAGACCAAAGTTCCGTATCACAGAACAAGGAAAAAATTGAAATTGCTGATTTATCAATTGTGTAGTTAAAAAAATGTCCAGAAGTTTCAATGTAGAGTTTAAAATAAAAAAATGCTAACTTAACCCCCCCAAAAGGTTTAATTAGCTTTCCACTATTGCAAGGAAAGAATTAAATAGTTGATTTAACAATATTGTAGTTAAAAAAGCTACTGCAACGTTTCAACGTAGATTTTACAACATTAAATGCTACTTTAACTATACCACCGTGGCAAAATTAGCTTTCCACTTTTGTAAAATGTACATTTGAAACATTGCAGTCACTTTTTTAACGATTGAATTGTTAAGTCCGCAATTCATTTTTTACCTTTGTAAAATGTACATTTGAATAAACATGTCGGACATATTGTATATCAATTTAATTGCTTTTACAGCAATCCATTTTTTCCGTTTGGGTGAGGACTGAAAACGGCAAAGCGGACAATTGCGATTGCATGCGTCAAATTGGCCAAAAGCACTCGGGAGCTTTTCGCGGCGGCAACGGTGGACGGTGGAAGGCGGGCCGTGCACTTGCTGCGCGGTGCGCGGATGGGGTTTTGTTGTGTTTTTCGGGTGGTAATGTGAGCTTCCCTTAATAGCTTTCCCTCCCCCTCCGCCTCGCCCCCGGGTGGACCGGGGCCCATTCAGCGAGACAACCCGAGCACAGCAACATGTAAACGTTGTTCATTATTTTGACTACTATATCCCACTACCACTCGCCAGTCGGCGCACATATTAAATCCCAACCACTTTATTACTCGCAATCAGTCTCATCACTTTCTAATTCCTCCCTCCCCCCTCCCGCGGGGAGGCCCTCCGCGGTCCCTCGTGGCGCCTCCCTCCTCCCCCGGTCCATTTTCACGCTCCACTACTTCCCACAGTCCTTCCTGCTCCGCGCTCTGCTGAATTTTAATCCGCCGGGGCCGATTAGGCTCCGTATATATTTATTTTACACTTCGGGCTCAGGCAGAATGCGCTCTAATTCCATCGCCGGAGACTTTGTCCACCGTATTTTGCACAGAGATCCAATCTGCCATGCTAAGGAAAAACGCCGTATGAGCCTTTGGACGCTGCCAGATTTCCTTGACTGAACACCGAATTTACTGGAAAAATTGTGAATTTTTTTTATCGAATTTTTCAGATTGTTTCATTCGCAACTTGATATAACATATCCGGAAATTTCACGGAAATATATGCATAACTTTCTTCAAAAATACATGTTTTATCCCGAGAAATTTGGCAACTCTCAAATGTTCATACGGCGTTCTTCCTTAGCACGGCAGCAATGCCGTATCCTGCCGTACTGAGGAAGAACGCCGTATAAACATTCGAGAGTTGCAAAATTTCCTCCGATAAAATGTTAAATCTTGAGGAACTCAATGAATATTTTTGCTTGAAACTATCGGCCGCTTTAGATCAAATTACGAAAAAAATTATCTGAGAATTTGGAAGAAAAATATTCACAAATTTTCCTGAAAATTAGTGATTTGTAAAAGAAAATTGGGCAACGCCTGAGGGCTCATACGGCGTTTTACCTTAGCGCGGCAGTATACATAGTCGTTCCCGAAACACTTCCTCTCCTCAAGGGGACCCCATATGGTTTATATCGTAATTACGGGAAGACCAAGGAGCTGGTATCATAAAAAGGAAATTTTCGCGAAGGTCAAGTAAAATTCACTTGTATAAATGTGGAACTTAATGCTTTAAACCCGAGCACAATGATTTGCAACTGCAAAAATTAAAAATTACACGAGGCATATTTGTAAGTTTCGAACATTTTTAGAAAAATTCAAATCCCCATTAAAGTTTTTAGAATCGCGTATTTTATTTTGCGTATTTTGCATTTTTTAAATTCCTATTTTCGTGTGACTATTACAAAGCACTCGGGCACACGCTAGTTCACACAAACGCATCATGCCCTTGTCTTCTCAGGGATCTTCTCGTAACTATAGGCATCTCGAAATCTTTTTGTCAACAACCTGCCACTATCTCTTTAAGGAACGTTCCTGTTGTTTTCTTTCAGGCAGCGCCGAATCCAAAATTTGTTTCCTCCAACATTTTTGAATTTTTACAATTAAAAATCACTGTGTTTAATTTACATTGAAGGAACTACCTGTGAAGTTATACTATTTAACTTTACTCAAGGTGCTCAATNTTTTTTTTTTTTTTTTTTTTTTTTTTTTTTTTTTTATAATGATGCTCTGTCAAAAGCTTTTTTAAACCTTCCTTAATCAAATGATAGCCACGACGGTAATAAACCACAGATCTCGATTGAGGTTCTTGGAAACATCCGATCATATTTTTATTTTTTCAAGAAAATAGTTCTGGATATTTTTGCGCGGAATTTTCAGAGAGTGTTGTCTAGAGAACTAAGACAAATCAAATAAAATTATATGCAAAAACTATGATCATGTCTTATTTAGAAATAAAACGTGGCAGGAGAACTGCAACATTGCAAATCAAGATACATGTTACACTCATAACACAACATGTTGTAATTTTTTAATAAAAAACTAGAAAATGGAAAATGAACACTGGGAGTTGAGGCATAGACATTCTAGTTTAACGTACAATTGAATCGGATTATTAATTTTCTTAATTCAATTCATGGGTCACATCTCCTCGGTATTGATAGATATATAGTTGATTTGCCTATAACGCTGTCAGATTCTTCCTCCTCTGGATTCTCGATCAGAAAACGCGGCTGATTTCGGCAAAGACGGTGACAACCTCTTTGAGCAAAAGGTTCAAATGTTGATATTTCATGGCGATCTTGATGTCGACCCTATGGACGATCTCCATCTGGAAATGAACGATGAGGACGATGTCGATCTGGGAATGGAGGCTGAGGATGATCTCGATTTGGAAATGGACGTTACGCGAGATCTTACACTCTTGAAGGACTTTGAGATTAGTCTTCTCCATGAGAACTTCTTTTGGACTTTCTTTTGGTGCCGATTTGGACTCTCCGTATGGACCGGAATTGGTTCATCCGATTTAAACCCAAAAAGGTGCCAGTTTTTCTTCTTGATTGGACAGGGTGTGTATTGAACTACCAAGTCGTCAATTTTAACCTTAAACTTGCCAATTCCGTTCTCCAAGGTAGAAACAAAATCGAGCTGAAAATGTCAAACATGAGTTAAAGTGCACACTTTTACTGGAGGAACCGTCCAGATAATAAGCTTTTTACGTGAATTGCAGGCACTCATGAACCGGAATTTAAAGCATTTTCTTGGGAAATGAATTGAATCAAACCGTTCATAAAACATAAACATCTTTTACAGAGAAATGTGTCAGGAACTTAATCTCTCTGCCATTGAGTATTCTGGAGAGGAACTTTAAACATCTCCCCCGGTTTGACCGTAATGTGATTCGGGTCCATTTTGTTTCAATTGGTCCAAATAGACCCTTCACTGACAATATTCGACAAGCCGGGGGGAAAAATACCTAATTTCACAGATGCAAAACTACTATGGGAGCGGTTTTTGTAGAATTTGCCCGAAAAATCGAGTTACTTAATATGGCATGGATTAATTTTGAATCTCAGATTCTAGGGAGCACTAATCTATTTTGTAGCTTGCATAAAAAACATAGAGTACCAATTTTTTTTTCTTCTAAATTTTAAATATAAGGAATTCAGTTTTACAAAAACAGAAAAAACTAATAAAAATTTGCAAAACCACACCACAGAGGAAAGATTCATTTTTTGAAAACCCTAAAAATACGTTGTTACGAATTCGTAAAGCTATATTATGGAGAGTTAAGGTGGTTTCTAAAGGAAACCACTCTCAGTTTCCGGAGGAATAATTGGACGCATTTCTGTTAAAAGGAACTATATGCATTATGACATGAGCCCTGTTATGCATATATTCTTATGGGTCGCAAGGCTCATGTCTCAATGAACATAGTTCCGTTTGATAGAAATACGTCCAATTAAGATGTAAGTGTCTTAGCTCATTTTCGTGCCCATAGAGTGTAAAAACGCACTGAAATTCGGCGACTCGCCTGTTTCACCCTTCCCTTCGGATCATTCCGGATCAAAATTTATGACTCACCAAAAATGGATTCTTAACGTTCAAAGGAAAGTGAGCATGCTTCCATCGCGTCCTTCTCGAACAAAATCTACGCGGACGTTCGGCAGTTTCCGACCAAATTACAGTTGACGATTTCGGACTGTAATCGAAATACCTGGAGTCCAGAGGTGACCGTAGCTCCACTTGCAACAGCTAAACCAACAAAGAATAAAACAATATAGTCCGTAGTACGTAGTCTAATGTGTGGTTTATACTGCCTTGCCGAAGAAAAACGCCGCACGAACCCTCAAGCATCTCCAAACTCTCATTTGATAAAGTTCGTTATTTCATAAAGATTCAAAAATTTCAATTCCTTGTTCTCATAAAATAATGTTTGTAACTTAATTCGCAAGACCTGAAAATTACATGGAGTCATTTTCATACAAATCCAAAAAATAAATATTTTCTTGAGAGAAATTTGGCTACGTTTTAAGGTCCATGCGACGTCTTACCTTAGCACGACAGCGTAACGTCTAAAGATATAATCGGATACAGATTAAGGTATGTACCTATGTATGGTTCATAGTCTATAATCATCAGCGAGGGTAATCTGGGAACCAGCCGTTCCTACTTTAAAAGGATTGTTTACTTAATCAAATAAATGGTTTAACTTTTAAAATTACGGTACAGAACTTCGCCACGAGAGGGGCTACAGCCTAAAACTATTTTTAAAAGTGGTAGAGCTTTTTGCATACCGGCTCTCTAAAATGACAACCAGTTGTGTGAGTGTGAGACCCTTCACTGAGGGGGGGTGGGTACTTTATATTCTGGCTTAAGTTTTAAAGTATTTTGACCGATTATTTGTCGGATGGGATATTCGTAGAAAAAAGCGTGAAAAGCAAAAAATATTGCGTTCAAACGTTAAGATATAATAGTGAAATTAAGTGCGGTAACATTCGGGCGCTAGAACATTAGAAGCAACTATCTCAGCCATTGCAATGATTTGCATAAACAAGCATTATAGACGAACAAAACATGAGAGGAAATTGTGAAGAGCAAAAAATGCAGTCAGACTAAGTTTGGTGAAATTTTTCCATTTGGTTACCGACATTGAGTGTGTTGAGTCCTTTTCCCTCAGTCTGGAACGAATACTTAAAATAGATACAGCCCTTCGGGCCGCGAGTCTCGTCGATAGGGCTCAGCCCGTAAAAACCTACGCTCCAAGCGTGATCTTGGGTGGTTGTAAGATTAAAATCATTATTAAACCGCCAAAAGAGGTATCCTTCAAGGTTCCCTGAAAAAACACAGAGAAATCCTGGAGTAACTAGGTGTACAATTATGATGCTTATACAAAGAATACAGTAGATTAAACAGCTCCTCTATTAATAATGTTGTGCACACAAAGCGCGCGTTAAGCGGGCACACCAGTAAAGTTTAAAATCCACCCCGAAACGCACAATTTATGCAGTCCGTACCGTGCAATTTCCGCAGGCACTTTTTCTTACTCTAATAACGAGAATCTTAAAAAGCTTTTTCTCCAAATCAATTTTTTCAATAAATACCAAACCGCCACACAGTGGACCGAGTCTCTAAAAGAGGCCGGACGTGAAATTTTCGACTAAAACTGCAAATTTTGATGTTTAATTCGTCACATTTTAAATTGATAGGGGTGTCTCTGGGAGAAAATTTCACGAGGAAACCAGCGGAACCACTTTTAGAACGTCAAAGTTTCGTATTAACGTAGTTATAAGCGTTTAAAGTTTCCTAATTTTGTCCGACCTCTCCTATTGACTCGATCCACTCTGCGCCATTACTACTAGACTGCCAGAATACTCGTAGATAAGTCCACGGTGCCCTGGTGTCAGTGTCACGCAATGGACCACTAGACAAGGTACGAATTTAAGCAATCTGATACATGTTTCTTAACCAGAATTTCACGTAGAACACGATTAGCGCAATGGATATTACTGAAACTAACTCCTAACGAAGATATCAACGTTTTTATTTCACATTGGGTACAAGGAATTTGAACTGCCCGCTCACAAGAAACTCAAAGCTCTACGTGAGTCAAATCGCGCACTACAACGGTTTCAGCAAGCTTCTCAATTGAGTAATGTTCATTTCCCACCATGTGTTGTTCAAATTATGAGCAATTTGCTATAGCTGAGCCAAAGCGTCAAAATTGAGGTTGCCACATTTTTAAATCTCAGATACTGTCATGATAACGTTTAGCGCGCGATGTGAATCACGTAGAGTATTGAGTTTTCATGAGCGGGTGGTTTGAATTTACGCATCAGGAATCATTAAATATCTTCGTAAGGAGTTGATTTCGGTATTTTTCGTTGTGCGCATCGTGTTTTACGTGAAATTTTGGTTCAGAAACATGAATCAGAATGCTGAAATTCGTACCTTGTCTAGTGCTCCATTTTGAGTTTTCGGGATTTTACGTCTTTATTTCCGTGGATGGTCACTTGGATTGCATTTTGCAAGAAGGAACCAAGAGTATTCCAATGATGTTAGGGTTGTGCAACTTACATTTTTTGCTATACAATTACAGATATCATGCAAAAAGTTAAATTTACAAAGGTAATTTCCATCTCAAATTTACAGTTCCTTGGGAGTAGAGATAAAACTAGTTTAGAAGATCAGTTTATGTTCGCAAGATAATAAAAGTTGCACAATCATAGCGCCATTGGAATGCTCTTGGTTCCCTGTTGCTTAATGTAATCCATGTATATTTATATTCTTAAAAAATACTTAAAATACTGTTTCTTAATTTTTATTTATTTATTTATTTATTTTTAAATAGAAGTAAGATAAAGTGAAAGCAAAAATTTGAACCCACATTCTTCGATATAATGTGATGAGTCTATTCTCCTTTTCCAGTCCCAATTGAGACGCCGATTACGATTAAGGCAAAATTCTTCCGAATCCAGATTACGCAACCCTTTGAAGCCGCAGTTATGCTCTTCAAAGGTACAGACAACATCCTCAGGGAAGCTTGGTTTCTGAACTGCTCCTGGAAATAGAAGAAGGGACAAAAAAGTAAGTATACCTAGTAGTAAATCAGACATGTTTGATTATACCAGAGAAAACAAAGGGAAAAAAATCCCTCTACCACCAAAATAGAGATTGGCGCTTACGTGATTTGGTTCAGTTATGGAAACCACCTTATACGGCTCATTTAAAGCTATTAATTTCCCTACGCAGATGAGTGCTTTTATCGGGCTATACAAAGTGGTTCCTAGTGTGCTTAAAATTAAAATATTTAATCTCGGTGACGCGCCCTTCATTGCAAGCTTTAAACTCTACAAATATATAATTTCGTGAACTTCACACCGGTTATTGGATAACTTACCGTAACAGCGATATAGATCCCGGATTCTCCTAACGTCGCCACTGCTCAATTTTTCGTTTAGTTCAGATTTTAAAGGACGCCCAGCTATTTTTGACCGAAGTGTTATCAGATTTTTTGGATCCTATAGTTAAAAAGGAAAAAAATTCACAATGAAAATTGAAATTTCAAATAAAAATTCAGTCACAAAAATGCCTAAAAATCTCAAATTAATTTGTCTGCCTCTAGCTTTGGTCTGCTTGTTGAGTTGTTCGTTTTTATGGTGTAAAAAAAAAACTCGTACGTTGGAACCAAACCCTTGTTTCTACTGTATACTCATTATATTTATCGCGTCAAAACCCCGTATTTTAACTACGTCATAGTGTGGCTCACGTAAGCACATTTTTTACCATTTTTCTTTTATACTCAGATGGATCAAAAAATAATTTCCTTCATAATACTTTAGTTTAATTAGGTTTTAATTAGCTGTGAACCTATTCAAATAGAAAGCTGAAATCCCTCTGAGAAATTTTAGTTGTACGGCAATTTTTGTTGGACCAACATTTGATAGACTGCAGCGTCCATTCTTGCGTACAGCCGCAATCACACGCTGAATGTGGCTTGAATGTGGAAGTCATCGGCCCGATGCCTGAATTTTGCGCGTGACGCGCAAAATTCAGCAACGATTCTCAGCAAGCATCGTACTATTGTTGGATTTGTCTGAGCTATTCGAATAGATTTGACACACATCTGGATGAAAATAACTCGAATTTGTGTTTCAGCCCTTGGGCGATGGCTGTTGACTTCCACATTCAGCTGCTGTATTCAGCGTGTGATTGTGGCATAACGTTTCCTTCATTCATCCATATTGGAATGAACCTATCTTTGTGTGTTGATCAATATTGGTGAAGTAAAATGTAGAGAGGACGATGGATACAAATCTTGCACAAAAATAGCAAGCCTTCGGGGTCTAAAATATTGTGGTCCGGCAGACTTGGATCAACCCTAATGGTATGGGCTCATCGAATTTTTCTTCTTCTTCTTCTTCTTCTTTTTCTTTTTTTTATGAGTTTTGTTAGTTAGATCCTGTGGCTGATAAATCAAAAGAGAGCTAAAGTTTTGGGTATTTTAATGTAGGAATGTGACCAAATTTTAAAACATGTATATGAAAAAAAAGCTAGTCCAAGAGTTAAATTTCACAAATAAAAAAAAACTTGACGGACACATTTGAAATAAGCAAATGAATGATATGAAATTCAAAGGGTAATTAAGTGCGGTGAGTTCTACCATAAATCAGAAAATATGAGCAGCTTTACCTTGGAGTGAACACGATCGCCCTTCATCATTATAGAGTCAAAATCAAACGGCTCTCCCAAGAGATTCACCTCCTCCTCCTCCTTTTTATGCATTAATTGCGACAATTCCTATTGAACAGATTATGAAACGAGTTTATCATCTTCATTCTCACCCTTTTGAATGAGCCACCAGATAAGGTAAATATTCATCCTTACATAAAAAATTTACTAATGGAGATGTTGCATGTGTGAGGAATTTGCGATTTGACTGTTGATTCTTATGTAAAAGTTTGCGAGAAACACGATGGTGCCATTGGTTTTTTCTGAAATCAACTCCCAAGCTCAAAAAAAGCTCTCAAGTTGAGGCCAAAATGGAGGGGATATCCCACGATATCCGGAGAGTCCATACCTCTACATCAAGACAAACTCTCCATGCAAAGATAGGGCGCAAATACATTAGCAGGGTTGCCGTGTTTTCAAAAATAAAGTGGCAGCCCTGTCAATGTATTTGCTCCCTATCTTTGCATGGAGAGTTTGTCTTGATGTAGAGGTGGACTCTCAGGATAGCGTGGGATATCCCCTTCGTTTTTGCCTCAACTTGAGAGCTTTTTTTGAGCTTGGGAGTTGATTTTAGAGAAAACCAGTGGCACCATCGTCTTTCTAGCGAACATTTGCATAAGAATCACCAGTCAAATCGCAAATTCCTCACACATGCACAATCTCCATTAACTAAAATAAAAAATTAATTGAGATTTTATCATTCAAAAATTTAAATTGGGCGGGTTGACCAAGACTTATTTTATACGCGAAATCCCAAAGTCTAGTCAACTTTAAAAAAATCGATTTTGACCGTTCTCGAGAATTATCCGTGTTATTTCTGTGTTTTTGGGGGTGAATAAGACTCTCCTTTGAAATTTCAGCTTATTGGTAACATGCCGGAACAATCTCATGCTCCCCCTCTTCATCCGTAATATGCAAATCCTTCAGAAGAGATAATCGAGTCATTTTGATCCAGCTTGGAATTTCTACGGGTAGTCGTAAAAAAAGAGAGAGAGAGAAAAAAAAACCTCACACGACACAACTCTCGCTAAAATACCAATTTTTAGACGTGCTGCGCCACGCCGCGCCATTTAGACTTTTGAGATACCTCAAACCATTTTCCCCCCATCAAAATGATTTTTGATTTGGACACATTTTAGTATATTTTGAGCAAACTTGATTTTAACCTTTATCAAATTTCAAAAAGAAGAGACTTAATTCAACGCACTATTGATGACGGCGCAGAGATACAACTATTCGTGCACGATGGATGTCCGTGTTGCATCTGAAAAACTGAAGGCGTGATGGCGCGAGGCGTAACTCGCAATACTCCGCTCTATGCTGCCAATGAGGTGTCGCTCATGCGATTTCATGTAAAAAATGCAATTGTCTAACTAAATTTGGCAATAGCTGATGTGGCTTGGTTCCTTTCTGCTTAACGCGGTCCAACTCATGTTTGGCCGAAAAATTGAAAAACCCCATACCCATTGCTGAGCACATATGTGTGGGAAAATCCACAGCTAAAACTCTTGTAGAAATGCTTTACGGATATCTCCTTCATCACGCGACCGTACGTCCATTCCTATTCTACACGGAGAAAAAAAACTTCGTGCGTGGGACCTGAAGTTGAGGTCATATGGATCTCTGAAGTTTTAGGATGCGTGATTCGAAAATTTGAGGTCCAGCTGCCGAAGTTTGGGTCAAGCATCTGAAGTACTTCGGTGTATAACGAAGGGTTCGGGTAAGACATCTGAAGTGCTCCGGGACATACCTAAGCACTTCAGATGTCTGACCCGAACTTCGGCAGCTGGACCTCAAGTTTTCAGATGTGTGACCCGGAAACTTCAGAGATCCATATGACCTCAACTTCGGGTCCCACGCACGAAGTTTTTCTCTCCGTGTAAGTGTCAAACTTAAAAAAAGTAACAATTTACAAAGTTTAAGCTGAATAATACCAATCAGGTACGGTCAGCTCAGGATTAGATGATAGTTTGGCAAGTGGCTTACCCCTTTAACGTTGCCCTCTAAAACTTCAATGTAGTAGTCTCTGTCCGGGCGCTTGTGTTCGTCATGCAAGTTCAATACATGTCCGAGCTCATGCAAAAACGTTTTTTTCGTCCAAACCTTTTGATGCACGTATAATACTTGTCGGCCGCCCTGTCTTCCTTGATTCATGTAGAAAGCCCTGCACGTCAAATATTTCACAATATCATGCTTGTAATTTTTTGGCGCAGATCAGCAAAACAACACAGGACATGTGCCATTCAATAATAATTTTTCTAGTTTCACTAAGCTCTTCCAAATTTTTCTCGTACAGTTTCGTTGTAAGGCAAAATGTTTCCACAAATCTGGGTGTTTCCTTGGAGATTTTAAAACCACCTAGTGCGACACTCACCGAAAAAAAAAATGTAATTTTTGTTATTTGGATCTAATTCGCAGCTTCCCATCCTTCAGGTAAGCATGAGAAACCAGGAGGTTCCCACACATAGATGGTGTTAACTAAAAATAGCTGAATACATTAGACTTTGCCTAATTTTTTAGTATTGTTTTTTATACAGACATCTGACTTCCATCTGAGTCAAGTTAACCAAATTCATTCTCCACAATGAGGGGCTTGGAGGACAAGGCGCAAAAGTGCAACTTTTGCTACTCCGAGAAATGCATGTTTGAAGTTTCGAATTTACATGGATCCTTACGGCGGAGAGAAAGTTCAAACTGACTTTCCGATGCTTAAAAATTGGAAATCGGAAGCAAATTTTCCACAGAACACGCCTTAAAACTAGTTGGATTGCATTTTGCAAAAAGGAACCACTAGCATTGCAATGATGCTAAGATTGTGCAACTTCATCTTTTGCAATAAAATTGCGGAAATCGAGAAAAACTATGAAATTTAGATGGTAATTTTTGTCTTAAATTTACAGTTTTTAGCGAGTAAAATAGAAACTATTAATAGATAATCGGGTTTTCCCTCCAAGACAAAAGAAGTTGCACAATCTTAGAAACATTGTAATGCTAGTGGTTCCTTTTTGCAAAATGCAATCCAGTTTCACTTGAAATCATAAATATCTCAATATTTCCAAAAACTGTACTTCTGCACCTTGTCCTCCAAGCCCCTTAATCGGGCTCCTCTATGAAGGCCCCAACCAAAGTGCACTGGAAAAAATGGTATGCTGTTTTAGCACCTAGGATGTCAGAAATGTGTCTGGTGATCCTAGGATGCTGCCTTGACTGCCCACGCAGGTGAGTTTGCATTCATAGGATGTAAAGTTAACTGCGAGGGCGGTAAAGGCAGCGTCTTGCGATCACCAGACACATTTTGGACAACCTGAGTGCTAAGATAGCATATTATTTTTTTCAGTGTGCCTCTCGCCACTCATTTTGCAAACGATATTTTGATAATGTTTTAGCTGACTTTATTAATAGTTGGGTTCGGAAAAACTGGGCCGGACGAGCGACAGAACTCACCAGTGGCGTGGCGTGCTTTGCGATGTATCGATTGTTATTCCATTTGAACCTATGGAAAAGGATCGATAAACATAGGGTGTTCGCAGCGAACACCTTAATAATCGATTCTCTACCATAGGTTTAAATGACATAACAATCGATATATCGCAAAGCACGCCACGCCACTGGAACTCACCCTTCAGTGTAGTCGCGCCGGATGTACACATAGTCCCGTTCTCCGCTCCACTCTTTGAATCGAACGCAGGTTTCCCGCATAATGTCGCGCATGGCGTCTAACACTACCAGATAATCATTAGGGCGGTTTGAAGGGAGCATCCCTTAAAATAATCATATTTGATCATAATTACACACAGGTGGTATAAATGTATATTTTTTATCGTGATAGAAGTGTACTTATATTACATCATATTTTCAGATCTAACGGGTGTTTAAAAATGTTTACATATCAGGAAACGGAAAATATTACCAAAAAATCACTTTGATCGGATGAAAAGAAAAAAATGGTTAGGAAGAGAGATAAAAAAACAAGCTAAAACGGAACAAAATAGACATATATACAAGGTATAAATGTCTTATTTTTCCTCTTCTTCCTCTTCCTCTTCTTCTTCTTCTTCTTCTTCTTCTTCTTATACGAACGACTAGGGCACAGCCCTATTTCTCAGGTCATCCAGTATCGAACACATGAAATTATTATTGTGTTGTTATTATGTTGTATAAATATTAAAAATATAAAAATTACTAAAATTAAAGGACTCGTCAAATCAATAAAAACAGCAATAAAACTTTCAATCATCCTCATAGGAGAAGAGAGCCAGCTTTGTGCCTACCTCTTTTAGGCGGTCGTCTCGTGATCTTTTCCCTATGGGTTGTTCGGGTGTCCAGGTCTAAATGTATGTGTCTAAAATAAACTCGGAGACTCGACGGATGATTTGAAGGTAATTTTTTACCAGTCTGAAAATACTCTTTGTTTTTTTCCTACGCTCGCTAATTTTCCAGAAAACTATACATTTCGAATTTTCCGGGGCACATTTCCACTTGAAAATTAGTGCACGGTAGAGGAGAGCCAAAATTATTTTTGGATTTAATGGCCAAAAATAAATTTGAAATTATGTATGCACAAAAAATATTCCCCCCAGCACCTGATAGGGTAGATTTCCCGGTTAGCTATCATTATGCACCCATTTCATATCCTCATATGTAAAACCAATCTGTCTGTTTTGCGGTTGAAAGTACACGCAAATTATTTTATAGAGGTGTCTAAAACAAATCGGTGTCTGATGAAATTTCGAAAACTTTCCGGGTCTACATTTTGCGGGTTATCACCTCTAGCACACTACACTTAAAGCGTATCAAAATATTTTTTAATCCTCAATATTCACGTATTGTCAACATTTTTACGTAGATTGGTGAGACCGATGAAGTAAAAAATTGTGCACGCGGGGAAAATTTCTCTCTGGATCCCTAGTTCTTTCGCAACTCTTTGTCTACGTCTAGCTCTGTCAATCTTCTCTTTGACATTTACTTCAACTATTTTCGAGAAAAAAAATTCGCTCTTTATGTATATACTCACAGATTAGGTCTTCCATTTTATAGATGACAGCTGCTTTCTTCCACAAGCCGTAGGTATTTTCCAACATCCTTTTTCTTCTCCGCAACTTTGGGAAAAATAGAAAGGAATAAAATTAAACTATACCTACGTTGAGTGAGTAAGAGCCTTTTTTAAGAACATACACGTTCAAGACAGGTCGAAGACCAATGTCTTGGGTATACATTTTTTGCCCTAACTTTTGTAAATTCAGAGACTTGAAAATAAGTAATAAAAGGACCAACAATTTTAGAAAATGTAGCAAAAATGGTTATTCTTAGTTTTAAAAAAAAAAAACCTATCTATTCTGCTCATTCGCAAAGAATCACAAACTTCTACATGGTCTGGATAGGCGGTGACTTGGAAGTTTACGTTCTTTTAAATCTTTAAAGAGACTTTTTTGGTATGCGGCCCTTGTGACTGGAATGATAGGAAATATGATTTGCATTATTTCAATGATTCGCATTGGTGGCATGTACTTTTATAGGTATTTTTTTATTCATACACTGACAACAAGATAAGCCCGTCCGGGATACTTAATTCTAGTAACGCATAACGGAAGCCCGATGATCTATTATGAGGTTGCTAGGCAGTCTAGCCATAGCCGTCTTATTGATTAAACTCGACGAACTAAATAACATCGCTTAAACTATTTTTGTGACTATTTTATCAATAATTATCATTACCGTTGGATCCACTCGCACATTCACATATTCGTCTTTGACCACGATTTTTTTACCGTCAGGCAAAATGTCGACACGCCCTCTGATGTCTCCTGCAAGAGCCAGGAGTAACAACACGAAAATTGACATTTAACTAACGATTAATTAACGATCAATTTAAAGTCAGGAGATTCAATTAACAATCGAACGAAGTTCGAGCTATACACAAACAAGCGTTAAATAACAAAATGAGTTAAAAATTTGAACAAACTTGAGCGTGTCAAGATACGCTCCAAGGAGCGACACAAACTACACCGTAGAGAGGAAGAGGAAGGTGTTTGGATTGATGCTTGACGTCACGTAACGTTCGTCAGTAAGCGAAACTAGGAATTGAGAGGGGAAGTACTACGTGAGCTACCTCGTTCCAGAACTTGAGGAGAGAACTGAGATCGCCTTTCCCGGACAAATTTCGAAATTTGAAACATCTCGAGGAAAATTTTCAGCTGGTTTACTCAGAAGTGAATGAAATGAAATTTCATTTTAGACAGAAATGTCACTCAGTTATTTTGCAGATGAATAATAATTATGCAGTAAAATTTTAGTTATGAAAACAAATTGATAGGAATATTTCGTGAACATTTTTTAACAATACTGAATTTATTAAATTGCATGACTCAATATTTTTTCAATATTAAGGCAGCGCTAAAAGAATGGCATTTAATTGATATTGTAGCATCGGATCAACATTCATTGAGTGTTTTTTTAGAACGTTCAGTCAGGATTTTCATAAAATTCATTCGTGATTATTAATTTTGTAATCTACAAATTGCTAATAATTATTTAATAATTTTATTTTAAAGTTTATACAAGATTTACAAAGCGGCTCCTTTTTGCTTTATTATTTAAATATTAATAAACCTGAACAGATTTATAATGTTGTGATGAAACTGGCTAAAGACTCCGTTTAAACTGGGTTTAAAATTGAGTCATTTTAATCGGACCTCATTCATAAGTTGAACGGGCCTCTACAATGTATAAGCCCGTTCGACGGGGGCCGCATTAAGAGGGTGGCCACATGAGCTGCGGTCCATGGCGGCAAATCTAGAGGGCGGCAAATTTTGCAACTTTTTTTAAATGTAGGTATAGAAAAATATCGGATTTAGAAAAAAAAAATTACAAACGAGAGTAGGCGACAAAATCTCTTATATCCTGAGAGTAAAGTTATTTTTAATTTTGTCGTCTTTAAGTGCGATACAAGAGACAGCACCTTTAAGTAGTCGAGTTAAGAGAGAAACCAAACACGCAATTTGGCCTGGAACGGCGCGGCGCAGAGAGCAATGATGACGAGGACTTGAGATGAAAAAGAGAAGCCCTCGGAGCGGCGATCGGCATGTAACACATATTAGCGCCTACAAAACTGCATGAATACTTCTCGCATTGCATCGAACACGGTGCGGTCATTGCGGTCAGCGTAAAACGGATAGCGCCCACAAGAATGCATGAATACTTCACGCATTGCGCCAAACACAGTGCGGTCAGCGTGAAACGCATGATGCCTACAAGACTTCGTGAATGCCTCACGCATTGCGCCAAACACGATGCGGTCTACGCGGCGCGGCGGCGGAAGTTAAAATCATTAAACCACATTCATGCTTGTTCTTTCATAATTTTTTTGTTCATTTCTTATGAATGTAAGGCCTTGTCCATTAGAGATAGGTTTACGAAACTTGACTTTCGCGCAAAGTTCCGTGACCTTTTGCTAGTAGTGTTGACAGGGCTTTCCCAAATAATGTGTTCAACACGAGTAAACGCGTCCTATGCACCCCTCCCCCTGGCACGTTCACTTGATGGTTTTTATTGATGTTTCAATACGAATGAGAAGGAGGCGGCAAAATACAGGCGGCCCATGGTCGGCAAGTAGGTAAATCCGGTCCTGCTCTACATCAAAGAAAAACAAAGAAAAATTCCAAAAGAGCCAAGTAAAATTTTTACTAGATATCCGTTTTTGCTCAGCGACATCAAAGTAAGTTTTGCTGGTTGAAACCTACCGATTATAGCAAACAAGGATAAAGTCTGTGCGAACGGTCGGAGGTATGATGACGTTAATGGATTCAATTTTTTTTCACTTAGCTCGATTACAAGCCTTTTTATTTTACCTCTCTCCCACGACAAATCTAGTTTCCGGTGATTGCATAAAAAAGTACCCACGCTCGGAAGATTTGAAAATGCGTAATACGGACTTCATGAATTGTGCGTCAATAAGTGTGTTCTAGATGTGTGTGATGTTCTTGACGTGATACGAGACAACGTAAAAAAATGAGGAGGAATCAATGCATTTTTAGTCCCGATGCTTTCATCGCGGTGGAAAGTCGAGCGGCAAAGATTTTCTGTCTTCTCCAGAACAATAGCTTGAGACAATCTTTTTCGCCTCCGCGAACAGTAAGCGTTGCCGTTGCGCATAAAATGGAACTGAAAACGCCTTCATTTTTGTAAACGCAACACACACAGCCACCGCGCACGAATAGTTGTATCGAGGACGTAGCATTTTAGTTCAGGGGCACACAACAGTGAAACTGCAGGACTGCGTATCTTGTATGTAGACGTTGTAAACTTCTTATCACAATTCTTTTTCCCAATGCAAAAATACTCAATGTGTTTTCTTCAAAACTTCTCCTGGTTGTTCCCCTCTGGGTGGAAAGTAATCTTTGAAAAGTTCAACCAGTATCGTTGGTTTCTTATCCTTTTATAAAATAAAATCGAAGTGGAGATTTTGGGACACCGCAAATAAGATACACGTTCCTAAAGTATTGCCGCCGATTTGTGCACTCGAGTGTTTTTATGGAAGCAACAAGAGATGAGTACCAATCTCTTTGAAATTTTTATGCAAAATTTTTATACAAAATGATTGATATAAAAAATAAAAAAAGTGTGTGATTTCTGAGGAGTCTGACTTATGATCAATTCAGTAATAGCAGTGTATAGTCCAGTTGAGATCAGCAAGGATCGCAATGTTCCTTAGC